TGGCGTATATCGTTGTGGTAATTCGTTACTAGTGTGAAGCCTTTGATTACTCGAATGACGCCTTATGCTTGTAAGCTCACTCGTAAGGCTTGTCGTTGCAACTGGTTGCTAGTGTTAGCCGTATTTCGCTTGCATGATCGCTCGTCCGCCGTGTCCTGACGGGTATTCACAACTGCTTGCTAGTGCTAAAAGCCTGGCGCATTATGCTTGTATGCATCGCTAATAGTATGGCGTGTCGTTGCAACTGGTTGCTAATGCAATTAGTCAGGCGTGTTACCGAGTGATCGCTCGTATCGCGAGTCATTGCAACTGGCTGCTAATGCTAAATGTCTGGCTTGTTATACTGGGCGTGTTGTGTCGTTGCTAATATAATGCAAATAGTCGTTATACTTGTGTGAATCTCATGTATGTTTAAGCTGTAATATGGTAGAGATAACATATGGTAACGCGATCAATAGTGTAGTATGATATTCAAGAGGCCCTATTCAAGAAGCAGTCGTGACAAAAAGTGAGCCCCTGGGCTGTTATTAAAATATCGCGTAAGAATATATAGCTTAAAAAAAAAAGATAGTCAAGAGCTGGATCGTCAGTATAAACTCATACAAATTGTCGCTTTACACGCGTTACTCAAAACAGAAGCAGAACTGGAAGGAGAAGTGTTATCTGTGCGTCTCGCCGTCTCGTACAAGCGTCAGTCAATAGTTATCAAACACATGCAAGACCACAACTATGTTTAACGTGCCGTAAAGAACGAAATGGCAACTTGCGATTCAGTTATATTTTCCGTTTCTATAAATACCAACAGTAGGGACGAACTCGGCGATACCCGGGGGGGTAAAATGTCCCCAGTTTACTTCCAAGTGAACTAGACTAAGCTGCAGGCGATCCACTGATCACTCGTGGTCAGTTTGGGTCGAAGGCAAAACCAAATTACAAGCGTATAAGTAGCATTTGCATCACATTTGCATGTTAGCTTATCGGCCATGTGCTAGCATTCCTTAGCGAGMAATGAATGGTGACCGCAAGATGCCGTGAACTCCTCATCAAAGGATGACGTGACCGGTTGTGTTACACGAGAGATTCGATGCCTACTAGTGCAATTTTAACTTTGCTGAAATATTCTATTTAACCACATATAAAATAAGTATGCTGTGAAGTTTTTTTTGTCAGTACTATATATTTGCTTAGCATGTAATCAAACTTTTATTGAATCTTTCAGTGGGTTATATCTATAGTATCTATGTACATAGAAATACTCTTGAATGACGGATTATCCCTTAATCAATTATTATATGTACTCAAGCAAATGACTCGGACCTCCTCGATGGATTAAACTTCAAGTAAAATTGATTGATTGTATTAAGTGGATGATGTAATTACAAAGCGAAGTGTTAAAATAAAATCACTGTGAAAGTTCGTTCGAAAACAAAGTTTTTTTTTCTAAAGTAAAACAAAGCTAAACAAGCTGTYTATAAAACTATTTGCCAATCTATAAGCTTTCGAAAATGACTGTGAAGGGCGAAGGAACCAGAACTAAAGTTTTTAGAAAAACAACATCTTTTACTCATTTCTTTAAACTACTTACTTTTATCAAATAAACTAATTTCAAATTTGATTTATTTCAAAATTGCAAATGGTAAATATGAGGAAATTACAGATCTCTCTCAATCTCTATCTATACAATTAAGTACTATTTTGATAGTACTATAGAATAAAATCTATTATACGCTCTCATATATGTATACGACCGTATAGTACTTGTGTTGTCTTTTGAAGACGTCAAACTATATATAGATATATATATAAACTTGAGTAAATTTCATAATCCCATGAAAGAAAGTGTACTGAGGAATGGCCAGAGTCGAAGTTAAACYTGTGAAATGCCAAAACAAGGTTAAAAAATACAAAATGAATTATCACTGTGGTACTCTAAATTGTATTTCATGGGCTTATGAAGATTACTCCCATTCATATTTGTACAAACTATAATTACACCTGCAAGAGAGYTCACCTCAAAATCTTGGTGAACAAGCCGGTTCACACTACGAAATAATCACAAGYAAACAAGAACAAAAGAAAAGACAAAAAGATTGAAAAAGTTTGCATAAGCAAATTAAAATAAGAAAAAGACAAATGTATAATACAAACAAAGAAAATCACTGTCCTTTCGTCTTCATCATGTTCCTAAATGTATTGTTTCTTGAGCTTATGATTATATTGGGTAGGTTAACCTGGCCTAACTCTTCTAATGTCACAAACTAGCTATAGAATGGACTCACTAAATCTGTGAAACMAATATTACTAATTATAACTAAATAGTGTTGATTGGACGATAGAAAACACAAGAATAAGCCAATCGAACTTGCAAAATAACTTACTGATATTATGTGCTAATTATTATTCTTTTTACGTGGTTTTAGCAACTGAAGAGGTTATTAAACAAAACTTAAAGTTAATTCCTAAAAATGAACAACAATTGGGGTTATATATTCCTAAATCCTTTGAGTTCTCAGCGAAAGAAAAATCATATTCGAGCAGTACTGTTTTTGTTTCACGGATTAGCAATTGATCAWTCTTTTTATAAAATTGTTATACTAAGAAAAGAGCCATAGCCAACAATAATGTAGCTCTGTCATGGCGGGATATACTTACAGTCATTCTTTATAAAAACGACAGATTAACTCTATATTTCAATTAACAACTAGTAGAACTAGTATTTCTAATGTATTCATCTTTTGAAGATAAAAACGGAGCATCTACGAATATATTCGGTGATGGCTCTTTTCTATGATTTTCAAGTCTAAAAACTTGAGATAAAATTTCTATGCCTACAAAAGTGCATATCGTTCAAGCGATAGCTTAAATATATTTTTAACCGTATATACATTTTATGTATAAAATGTATATACATTTTATGTATATACATGTATAAAATGGTCGTTAAAACGTTGTTTCAATTTACATGCAGTAAAAATCTCTTATTAGCTAAAGTACATATTGTTATTTGCGCGACCCCTCTTTTGAAATGATATTAAAATACGAAATCATACTGCGTGCACAGTATGATTAGATTAAGAGCGCAAATCCTGTCATAATACCGAGCTAATAGTTATAAAGCTTGTCTTCTGTGAGTCTCGTCTTCTGTACAATGTCGTCTTTTTAGTGAATACTGGTACCACTACTCTTTGGAGTATGGTAGAGTACAGTAGTCAGTCAAAAGTACAAATTAAAACTACAAAACTACAGTATACATTCTATCAATCTTTTACAGAGGAGGCGCTCAGCTAGTACTATATAAAGTCACTGGTCTTTTTTAAGGCGTTTTAGATTCAATCMKATCGCCATACGTAAAAACACTTTCGGTGCATTGTGGGAACGTGTTGGAACGACGAAATACTGCCTTGTTATGCCCTCGATACTGACTTTCAGCGAAGATTCTTCTATTTCGATGGCAGACTTTGCGAAGAACATGAGATCTCACGGTTGATTTTTTTAGTCTTCGAAAGAAGCAATGCCCGCAYACCCACTGAAAAGCTTCCTCTGCAGACCGGAAACCGTTTGCTCGTCTTCTTCCCATGGGGTCCCTGTGGACTTTGCGTTTGACGAGCTTTAGAAGCCCAGGAAACTCTGACTGCTCTTGGATATGGGTAATGCCATTTTCTTGGCAGAGTTCGTATTTAATCTATTGAGAAAATATGAAGCGGTTATCAGGATAGTTCATGGGAATTTAGACCGGGGTAGACTTTGGCTGATCGGCTGGAAGGCTGTAGGTTAAAACTCGAGAGATAAAATGGCGACTATATCAAGACTATTTTTTGGCGATCTAAACAAAGTTTGGAAATAAATATGAAATTTTSTACCATTTTACTCCATGAAATGAAAATCCATTTGTCCTGAATTACAAAACACCTCTTTTACTTTAGAAATCTCATTGTATCTTTGTCTCATCACTGAAAAGAMAATGGCTCCCAAAGAACCTAACTCCAGTTTGTTGGACTAGGGTTTATTATATGTAGAAGGGACTAGAGAAAAATCATAAAACCGTGAAACATATGTGCCGCCGCTTTTAATAGTCGCCGTTCCGTCAGATTTGAATTTGACATTGCAAGCTTTGTTTGAATTATGTTTATATAAATGAAACAATACTAAACCATAAAATGTGACGTAAAAATCACATTACAATGAATTGTAAGCAACTTGTTTCATTGTCGTTCAATGCATTTATTTTGTCTATGGACGATGTATTTTGTCTGCTTCAATACGTGTGACAATATATAGCATGAATTCAGTCACGATAACGCACGATAATGTATGAATAACTTTGTAATAGATTAAACTTACGTTATTGGAAGTGAGCTCTGAATTTGGTAAAAGAGAAATAGAAGTCGGCTCATCAACTACTTGCTCATCATTTACTATGCTTGCATCGCTTTCACTGCTGACCCTGACACGGGTAGGACTCGATRATTCTGATGAAAACTCCTCCATGGGGTAGCCATTGAACTGGTAGCAATTTCTTTGACTTTCTGTAAAGACCAAACGGTGTAAGATATAATAAACGTAGGTTTTTTGCTGTGAATTGTTCATCGTGGATATTACACCTTGAATGCTACTTGAATTAATTATCGCGTAGTTTCAGTCAACCGGGTAAAAGTATTTCGAAATACCTCAACTCAAACGATTAGCGTACTTTTTGATGTATTTCATTTTTAATCTTGAACTAAAAATCCGCCATCTTGAGTTATAGATACTCTTTCAAAGAACGAATATTCATGGGAAGCATTTCTCATTAGATTTTAATATTAAGTGGATAGCTTTTAATTATGCTCTGTCCAAAATTGGACTATTAACCTTCAGTTTAAGCTCAGTTGAGCCTAGCTCTGCTTTTAAACTATGTAATCTTACCTAGACAATCACTGGCTGTTGCTGATTCCTGCATTTCAAACAYACTAGAACAGCAACACTGAGATTTACCATCCTCAAACTGCGTCACTACGTATAGTTGCAGCCTTGTACTTTTATCAACCAACCACAAAGAAGGGAACGACGCAAAATTCAGGTATACAGTCAGCAAGCCCGTAAGTKGATCAAATTCTGACTTTAGTGCAAGAGGRTCTAAAGAAAAAGCATCATTGATATGTAAGTCAACTTCAACTCAAATTCAAAGTGAAGAAGAAGTTAGTGAGAAGAAGCAAAGAGGTCAATATATACCAAGACGACAATGACCTACGTGTATTTGAGGAAGTTGGAAGTAGATGCAATGAAATAGGAGATGCATTAGACCAAAAGAAGTAAGYATCTTGAAGGAAGTGAAGAGGAAGTCTTAATTTAGGATGAAACTTACCAACAAATGAGCTTGGTGAAGACTCGGGATGACATTCCTTAATATAMACTTGGACCTGCTTAATTTTGCACGTTGCTTTCAAGAAAACTGTTGTTTTTTCTTGATTATCAGTTTCTAAATCTTTGATTATGTACAACCTCTTTAGGTCCATGAAGTTAATGTGGAGATCGTGAATAGGAACACGTGTATTATTTAACAGATTTATGCTTCCTATTTGTCCGGTAACAATGGAGACTTCAGAAGAATAATACTCTGCCTTGAATGTAGAATGAACGTTATTTTTATCCGATGTGAAGCAATCGTTGTATTCTGTCTCGTCCCAAAGAGAGAACGCACCATCCATTATGCTTTCTTCATCGACACTGAGTGAAGGACTAGGAACTGCTTGAAAGGAATCCTTTGGGAAAGTCTGCCATGAATCTGTCAAAAAAAAAGATAATATTTAAAATAAAGCAGAATAAACCTTCAAATAAACGAACAAATTTATAATAGTCAAAGGTCAGTGTATAGTCAAAAAACTGCCAAAGCAAATTTTAAAAGAGTGTGCMATTAGTTAAGTGTTGCGATTGAACGCCTTGAGAAGTGTTGAATCAAAATTAACCGCATTATGTTCAGAATTCATAAACAGACTTGAATTTCCCCTCTAATTCTGTATGATCGGAAAATAAAAGATATCAAAGAGAAGATACCGTGTCGAAATCGCAGTTCAGAAATTGTCCTCCCAAGAAATCCTTCACAACCCTATCCTTGCTTTCAAGACACAAACTCAGTCGGCACTTCTCTAAATGAAGGATTTTCTCTACCTTTAAGCATTTTATATCCTGTAATTCTATCTGACAAACTAAAGGAAGCCAAGACTTCTCTTATTGCAATTGGACATATAACTTGAAGAGATTCATTGTACATCCTGGATCATACRTATAGTTACTCCCCTAAACACCCACGCACAAGGCATAAACAGTTTCATATTTTTGCGCTCACTGACTAAAGGCATTCATCGGAAGTAAGTTTCGAATTTCTAAGATAGTTAGACGTAATAGTTTAAGAATAACAAGCATGTGTGTATTGTTTGTGTATCATTTACTGGTCCGCCATATTTATGAGATATTTAGTTCATGGTCGATTCCACTGTCTTGCCTCACYTGGCTAGTTTAAATGTGATATATCAGCATGATTAGTAGTAATATGCAGTTTATATGCAGTTTAATCTTATCTAAGATTATTGCAGCTTTAATCTACATTCCCTAGCTTGTAAGCATCCGGTCGTAGGACCAGAATATGATTGAGTTTAAACTACTTCGGTACCCACTTGTCATTGCGCTATACGCGTCGCGTGGCCATCCATGTAGTTTATAAACAGCCATGAAATTGCTACAAGGCTCGCTACCACTACTATACTTCTTTATATCTTCTATAGTTCTACTTTTTTATGAAGCGGTGACTCAACTTGATACGTGAGGGTATCTAYGTGTTTTTTTAAGGAGGTACATGGGTAGTGGCTTGAATGTATTCTTTTCGAYTCGGTTGATCCGTGAACATTAAGGGAGGGGACAGAAGAACGAGTGGGTGGAGGGTTAAAGATAACTCAATATTGATCATTTTTTTTGTTTTCAAAAAGGGTTAAAATTCCTATGAGCTCACTTTTTAATGCTGGATGTCTCAGGTATATGTGACAAGCTAGATTTTTTTTGATATTCGTTTCACTGTATACACATTGGAACTGAAGTGTGAACGCACTTAAATTTGCACATAATTTATAGGAATTTCATGGTGGGATCAGTGATAAAATTAAAAACACTGAAAATTTAGATATYATTGCTTTTTATTGGCCTCATGTGAATATGGTACGGTCAAAAAGCAAATTAAACAGCTTTAAATTTAAAAATATCGTCCCTTAGAGCTTAAAATGAGGTTCAACTTTCGCAATATCATAGATATATGCTTAATTATTCGGCTTCTTCGGTRGAGGCCTAAGTTTGGAACTTCTCTCTAGCTAACAAGTGATTGAACTTTTAGGCATTGATGATCGTCAAGACTGTCAAAAGCACAGTCACACGAATTATCACCTGTGCTTTTGTTAGAACTAATATTACTAAAACAAAATGAGAATCTCTTTATCTTGCAATGTGTTTGTGGTGCCTGATTTTTGCAGCATGTTTCCGAAAGTTCAGTTGCCAACGAMTTKTCAAAGTTCAAACCTTGAACGGTTTCCATAGTGAATCAATAAGAATCCAGTTAGACAAATGTCTACAGCTCGTAATTGTAACAATACTAAGGCACATGTGTTTCAATAAAGTGAGGTATAATTAAAAAATTGAAGAGTTTCTCATTGACAAGTAGACATTTCTATGGACATTTCAAGGACAATCTCTACCGAGCGAAGCACAAACAATACTCAATAAATCTTTGCAAAGTTGGTGACGTTTAACATTTCTTGTTTTCAGCTCAATTGTAAGAATAGTATTGATAAGAGATACATTTATGTTACTTTGTATAATTTATAGTACGGAGTGAATTCGAAAATAGTTGACACAAGAGCTTTGACTTTTTCAGCTAATAGCAAATGCAATTAAAATATAGAGAAAATCCCGACTGAACAGACGTAAAAAGTGCACAGACATTACTACGCACCAAATACTTTTTAGGACAATGTAATATACAGCTAGAGTTGAACTAGCGGTCATTATATAATTGGGCTTTGACCCATGCATATGCCGGACCAAAGTAGAAATGTYATGAATTAAAACTAAGTTTTTTTTTAAAGATGAATTACATTCAACTTCAATTTAAATTCAGTATGTATTTTGAAGTATTGCGTGGAACAGATTTTTTGGGGAACACTTGTTTTTCATTCACTTTTTAAACTCTGTTGTGGCTATATTTGAGCATACGCGGTACGTACGGGTTATCCTCGGGCATGTTTCCGCTAAAAAAAAACATTACAAAAACTGCTGGAAAACCGCTTTTTGAAAATCAATTTTTTAATTTCCTCAAATGATATAAACATTTCCAATTGTTTCGCAGCACTTATGTGGGTCGCATTTTACAATAAAAAAACAACAACAAACAAACAAAAAAAGTTAAAAAAAGAAACACGACTCGAAGCACTTCATAGGTCAGTAACATGGCATTGAAGCGTTTAACAATATAATGCTTAAAGAGAATATKTGCGAATTTACCAAAATKTTTGAAAGATAGTGTCACAGCTTTTGCGGTTATGTTTCATGTTGAGATCTGTGGATATCCMTTGTATTGGTTCCTTCCTGKGTGAGTTCACTTGTGATCAGAACTCTACAGGTGTATCAAGACAAYCAATAGTGCTTCCCTTCCCATTAAAAAAGGTTCAACACAATAAACTTCTAAATGCGTTCAGCTAAAATAAAACTAATTCTATTATTATATTAATATTATATAAATGTATTATAAAAGCAGTTATAACATTAAAGGTATAAACGTTTTGATAACCCCTTGAGGTTTTGAACGTCTCCGGACAATCATATATTATTGTSATATTCTTCAATTCCGAATTGACTGAAATAGAAAAATCCGATTTTAGAATTGTTATAAGATTCTATAGAAAAATCCTTACTTGAGCAGCTACTTCGCTGAGCGTCTCTCGACATTATTTTGTCCTTGTCATATCCTCGTAGACCATTCCTCACTCCAAGTAAAGACCCATTACAGCTATTGTATGCTTGAAACGTTAATCCATGTTTTAGTAACTCGGAGCCCAAATCATCTCTCATCACCTCAWATGCAATTTCAAAATCTTTGTCAAAGTCTGATTTCTGCATTGGCGGAGTGAACGGACGCAGTTCTACTTGAGCGTATCGCACCATTTGCACCAACTAACCGAGACACCTAAAACGACTATACTATATAGTCTATCTACTAGAGGAAGTCGGCAAGTTTTTCTAGATTGCGTGACCTTTAAGGATCATTTCCGGTGRAMGACAWTGTAATTAATTCGCGTGGGTCGTAACACACTCCCAGGTTAACCCAAGCCGTAGCATATTTGCAAAGAAAAACGACTTCTATATGCTGAAATTTCCATTTTGTAGCTATAATTGTAGTATATATTATCTAATTTAACTGCTTTGAGGCTTCAAAATTGCATTTTAATTGGCTATATGTATGCATTCAGACTTCCGGACAATTTACTTAGCTGCGTAGGCGGATGTCACGCTCTTACGTGATAACGTACGCTGTCAGTTATCAAAGCTTCTATCGACCGTGCCAAACCTTGGTCCTAATACTATGACAAATGCACTGGAAATGGAAATAATTCTCAAGTCAAGATAAAAAGGGTGGAAGAGAATAAAAGGGTGGCTAAGAAAACATTTGGATAAATTTTGAAAATTCGTGGTATGAGTTGTAGTAGACCTTTCGTGACGTTGCCTCGTCTGTTTCGACAAGACACTTATATATTCACATATGCCACAATGGCAAATTAATAAATTATATCGTTCGTCCATGTTGCCAATACTAATGGATTGGGTAATTTTGAGCTATTTTTGGATGAATGGTTTTTTTTACGCACTCGTTTTGAGAAGCGTAAACTGGATTTCACAATCGCCGTCTGCGGCCGTACGTCATTTAAGATCAGWAACCCAATATCTCYCTRGCTGAAATGAACCGAGTTCACCTTTTGARCAGCTTCAGTAATTTTCATCGAATTAAAAYAATTGCAACATAAGTTGATCCTAAATAGCCACCAACTGAAGGATTCATTTTACGCTTTTGTATTCTATAATTGAATTGAAAAAAAAATTCCTATAAGTAATTACTTTATGAAAACAGTTTTTCTTTTTCTTTCAAATTRACATTATAATTGTGTAATGTATGGGAAGCCCAGTGTTTCAAAATTAAGTGCATATAGTACATAATCAACAAAACAACGCATTTGCTTGCAAAAAAGAACTCTTCGTTCAAACAGCATAATTTGATTTCATAGATAAGGTATGTTTAAAACCTATTTGATAAGTAGAAGACCTCTTTGATAAGTAAAAATCCTTTTTGATAAGTAAAGAATAATATAAGTAGAAGCAATCTTCTTCGTGTTTTCTTTTGTGTTTATTCAACTGTTAAAAACATTAAAATCACCATAGCAGCTAGTTTACAGCTCTGTTTGAAAGTGTTATTCGCCCAGATTCCTATCCAAAAACCCCAGTGGGATTAATAGATTGCATACTCTGCAACTTAGTACGATTATTAGACCATGATTAACACATTGCGTTTGTATTTATTTTAATACAATTACTTTCTTTGATGTTTCAGACACTTGCTGATAGATATCAGATAGCTTTAAACATCTGACACGTACAATTACAAAAAGGTTTCATGCATTCATAGAGACCTTTTAGCAAACATTTAGTACAGGAATGATATACTTCGAAGAACTACAGGAATTCTATGAAAACCACACTTATGTGATAGTTTTTCCTAATAAAAGATTGTTATTATTACATAACCTTTGTCTTAATTGTATACAGCTTATAAATGCAAGATAACGTCTTTTTCTTTATAGGCTTGGTGTATTTTCAGTTTATTAGAGATTCTCKATTTCTTTACTGAGAACTGCAACTCTTCGCTAATAGTTGAGTATCACGATCTCTTTTACATTGTGCCTCATTTGTGTGTTAAATTAAATATGTAGAAATTTGGATACTAAATCGTGAGATTTTAAACTAAATTCATCGTATTTTATACTCACAGATTTCTTGCATTTTTGCGGACTCTTTCTGAAGAAATGAATGGCCTAACACGTGTGAAGGCGTTGAAAGGATATATTACATTGAAGTTTCTAAAACGAAGGACGCGAATGTAATACTTTATAAAGAATTCTGCAGTTTGAAGTAGTATATGAAGGTATAAAATAATCCAACACGAAAAAAAAAAAAAAAAACAATAGTAAAGTTGGTTAAGTAAAGTTCTATTTAAATAGCTGATCTACTGACAAATGAAATAAGTCGCAGGTTGCAATCTGAGAGTAATATGCTCTCGAGGGGGGGCCGTATCTCTACCCAACATGTGATCATGATTTAAAACTGCTTGGGCGGCGCCTGTAAAGGTAAGTAGCTTTATTAATTAGTGTTGGCTTTCTTATTTTCACTGTATACTTGTAAACTGAACTCTACACATTTCCCCATTCAGCCCAGAGAATGTGTTCGTCTCTTAGAGAGTGTTCAAGTTTAGAAGTAGTATATGACGCAATAAATAGGCCACTTGTTTAAACTATGAATTTAGAATGGAAAACTGCGATTTTATAAAGTATTGCTTAAACCAGTACTCAGTAAGGGCATCAGTCATCTTTTTTTCGTCGTTAACCCGACAGAAAAGAAAAAAACGAGGAATTCGTATACGTGATAAATAAGAAATAAGAAAATAATAAGAAATGCAAATGATTAGATGTCGTTAATTGTTACTGGYTATGACTTTGTTGGAATCTCGTTTTATACGGCATCAGTAAACTGAAATTATAGTGACATTATTGACATTTTGGTATTTGGCATAAAATAAGGCATAAAATGACTTTTTATCGCCAAAGGTTTGCCACTTTTCCACTTTAGAGCTTACTTATTTAACTTATTTCATGACAAACATCTAAGAGGGCTTCGAGAAAATCTTGGTGCAATAATGTTTTTAAGGATATCATTTTGTGTTGATARCCATAAGCATTTGACGAATTTTGGACATGATTTCTCCTGTTTTATTGAGCTGCAGTACATACTTTTCTTAACAGGAATAAAATCTTTTTCGACATCAGGAAAGGAAAAGAAAAGAAAAACGTTTCTCTACTTAGGTCTTTGATGTGACGAATCAATATATTCTGAGGTCAAGCTGAAATGAGATGGCAAACCAAAAGCAAACGATGAGATATCGGTACGTATTTATGGATTTGTTGAAATATCTTCTCTATATGGCTTTAGTAAACTGAAATTATAGTGACATGAATGACATGTTGGCATTTGGTAAGGCATAAAATGACGTTTTATCGCCAAAGGTTTGTAACTTTGCCATAAAGTTTACTACAAAGATATTTCCTRAAAAAAATCTTTGAGAAAAACAAGCTTGAAATTGTAGTTTCAATTCGTTTATAACRATATTTCGCTATTTTTACCAAAATGCGTGCTTTGGGATATAAATATTAATTTAGAATCAGACTGGGATGTACTGAGTACAGAATCTCTTATATTTTTTGAATTGGAGTCGAAATTTTTGTAACTTTCCTTAAGTCATCATTCTTGCTTATTATTTAATCAATTATACTTTTATTGATTAATTCTAAACACTGAATGGTGCACTCAGTTAAAAGATAACTCCAAAGAAAACGTTTACATCCGCGATGCATTCATCCTCTCAACTCAATCAACACCATAATGTATTCCATTCAGACGTTCTTAAAGGATCTACGCTTTATTCAATGTAATTTTCTCTTGTTATTATTGCATGTATTAGTAGATGTTGGTTTTGCTTGGAGCTCACATCCAATACATATATATTTTTGCGTAGTTGTGAAGGTGGAAGCAAGTTCACAAACYGTATATATTCCAATTGTTCTTTCGGTTTCTGCTCCACTCATGGGCTTGTAAACGTAAAGGTTCGATAAAGGTGAGCTTCTGGGTAGATTCTTGGGAAAACGGGATAACTCTACGTCAAAATGATTGCAGCAATAGTATTTTATGCGCATTTTCTAAGAACAATCCATAGAGATTTCCTGACGTTATATTGTCTGGCAAGACGACGGAGTACTATCATCGAAATACGATAGTGGCGACAAAGGTTAATCTATAAGTAATATGATAGTGTATCGGGTATGTATTGCATTACTTTCTCAGTATTGTTTAACTGCAGGAACTTGCGTACGTGCATACTGTGAACGTAGACAGTCACATCACTCAACAATAATTTAATACGATTTTATAGATAAAAGGGCCTGACTTGAGGAAGTACTAGATACTCTAGTCCGAGCGTTTAGTCGGGCTTCGTGGAAAAGCAGGATTTGGCGAGAATCCGAAAAAAAGTTCCAAATATGGTAATAGTATTACTCACATAGGCAGAATGGTGAATTAACAGATATTCTTTATTTATTTATTTATTTATTTTTTTTCGTCAATTCAATCATGAACTCATGTGTGATTTAATTAGCAAGAAGGTTTGAAGTCAGTAAGTAAAACGGGTACCGTGTATTCCAGATCTACATAAACAAACTCCACGGCTACATATATAGGGTCGGGCCGGTTCACTCTACACAGAAGCAGAAGTAGAACCAGAACTAGAAGCAGACATAAACATAGCAACATAAGACAAGCAAAAACTGATTCAAAGATATGAAGAAAAAACATATTCCTTTCCTTAAACCCCTCTGATCGCTTTTTCCAGTATGTTCCAGTGTAAACCGAATCCTAGCTGTAAATAGCTTTTGGATCCAAAACCAACGCAGTTTTTTGGTTTAATTTTTAATGTCGTGACCGAGTCAGGATCTGTTACAAGARACCAATGATAAGCTGCATGATTTTGTAGTGTTCCAAATGTTAGAAATGCAAWTAATCAGTTCCTGTACCAGAGGCTTATGTGCTGAGCGAAGAACATCTCATTCTTGTCCTTCCRTGTTTCGGTCACAGTCAGTCCAGACTTAACTGAGAGGTTCCTCGAATGCAGCTTCAAAAAGAAAGTGCATTTGTTCCTAACTGTCGAAAATTTAGGCAGTTACTGACTTAAACACTTTGATCTCATACAGACAAACAGTATGTAACAGAATTGTGCAAATTCGCGTGTTACTTGCAATTGCATTTATAATGTACGTCAATAATTCGAACTTAATTGAAACAACCCCCCAACCAGGGCTGATAACCTCGTCGATACAGTTTGCCCAAATATCATCGCTGAAGCCAACGCTAAGAGGATATTTGCCGGAAACCCATAGTATCTGAATAAAAGGTAGTTGCAATCAATCGTCAACCTGGAATCACTCAATCAACAATTTTTGAATTGATAAACAATATTTTACGTTCGATGTTTTGAGTGAGTGTTTCTCAGAGTTGTCTTCCTCCGAAGAAGAATTCCAATGAGAACGAGACCTTCAATAAGGATATCGAGACAATAGTGCTTCGTACACATGCGGTTCCGGTCACCTTGCGAAAAGTTATAACGAGGTGTCTAATGTCATAATATCATTAAAAGTCCATATATGGTATATAATTTGTCTTGAAGGGTTTCCATTTAAAGTATTTAAACACATTTGAAGGTGTTTTTCTAATAACATAGATCTACATATATAGTTTTTTTTGAATATATCTTTGTATTAGCTGACGAATTATACTTTAAAATTTATCTTGGTAAATCCGTAGGTAAATATTTTCGATTTGAACTCTTCTGGGCCTAGTAAAATGTAAATTTCCTTTTTAAGTCTTTTATGTTACAAACGTGCAGGCAGCCAAAAACTATATCCATGATTAAGCGGATGATCCTGCTCCTTGGAACATCCTATTTCATTTTTCTTACAGCTTTTGTACTCGCAAATTAAAATTATTTATAGTGATTAGTTGCACACAATTTTTATTTCATATTTCACTTCAATCAATACTAATAATAAGAACAGTTTTTGGTTTTCTTTTTGCTCATGTAAAAGGTYTAATAACCCACGAAACCCACCCCATCATACATCAAATCAACCTATCCTGAAAGCCATGTAGTTCCGGCATTTAGACTTTCTACTTCCTGCGGATGACCTTTTGACGTAACRATCTTTCTGGTGAGTATTTCATGTTGCAATGTAAATTCGATCGATACAATTGACATCGATTAGTGATCCGGATGTGATGTGGTGGTAAAGCCGAAAAGGAATTTACTTCTTCTCGGACGATTTTGCGGGCCCTATACTACTTTATTCAATACTCATTCTTCCTATCGCTCGTACTTTTAGAACAGTTCCACCCATTTATCCTTAAAGGAAATCCAAAAAAATAAAAACAAAACAAAACCAACAACAACAGCAACAAACAAACAATATTTGTACATAACGTATGATTATAACTCGATTTTAGGCCCARACGGCGTGGCGGTTCAATTGAGGGTGCGTGCGGTWAGGGGGAGGGATGATGTGGGAGAAGGTAGGGTAAGAGAGCCTGCAGCTTTGTTTTCTTAGAAATTCCTCTATTTGTTTTCCTTTTAAGACTACATAATCCTTGCGAGGACGATGTCTTKAAAACACGAGCTTTGATTGCTGGACATTTTACAATCCTAATCCTATTTGAATTAAATTTGAGCTAAGAAAGCATTCCAATCGTAGARATTAAGCTGCGAGCTCATTTCGGCCAACAAACCCTTCAAATTTCGAACTTTACTTGTTACAAGCTGTCCCTTAAAGAATAAGAAATTGAAGGTTATCTACAAAATAGCTAGCTATCAGAAAGCATCTCAATGCGATGACGCATTGGGCGTTTATCCAGCAGATCCATTAGACTTGGCCAAGGTTTCCTTGTCATAAYGATTAAAATCTCATTTTAYAGTCAGTCAAYCTCATTTTTTCTCAGTTAAGCCAGCGGTAATATGATCTGCTTTTTTGGTACATGCGCTAATACAAAATTGAAAGATATTTTGATCGAACTGGTTACAAGTTAAACCGCATTATGTCCTTGGGGTATTTGCGCTTAAGATGTTAGTCACCTGTTGACTAAAAATATCTGAAACTAAAAAAAACACCGTTCGCATTAACCACTTGAAGACCGGCTTTCAAGAATGATCAGGTGCCAACTCATTTATCATCGAACTTTCAATTAAATCCACAATGAATTTGTACTGTAGTGCGAGATTCAAAGACATCAAGTGTCGCATAATAGAGTGATTTTCATCGGACTGTGAAATAGTTCCTACGCTAATAGATGCTAATAGACTCTACACCTATTGCTTTCTTTTATTGTAATACAACTATTAAACACTATTTTAAAAACACTGACTATTTTAAAAACTATTTTAAAAACACTGACTATAGTAGTAAATGTTTCACAGACGGATGAAAATGACTCGAATCCAGCTTCGAATGCTCTGTGTTAGCCTATCATTTGTGCGCAAAATATTCCTAATTGAGAGAATAAAAGTGTGAGGATTTCAATTCAATTCTATTTATTGTCTTTCTTTGCAAATTCCATGCGTTTTCTCGGGCTATCAATGAAACAAAAGAATATGTTACTTGGTTTTGAGGCTAACACACTAGCAAACCAGAACTCTAAATTGAAATAAAATTCAAGTCATTTTATGTGGGTCTTTTTTTGAGCGGTTCCACTGAGTTTGTCAAAACTCAGAAAAAAAAACTACTACTACTACTACAACAAAAACAAAAACAAATAAATAAATAAAACAAGATGACGAGTAATAGATATCTCTTTGATTAAACTTTGAGCCGTTCATGAGTCGAGGAAATGTGATAGTCGTGATAGTTTCCCATGGAACCTGGATATTGCAAAAAACAAATACTCGCCGGTTAAACAAATGAGAGAGAAGGAAATTTTGTTGCTGAATTCTAATACACGTTACTACGTTCTAATTGCATTGACCATTGTTTTCCTTTGTGTCTATTTGACCATCACACTTTAATAATCAAATATTGTTTCACGGGTTTAATAAGCTCACTTMATTGAAGGTTTGACTGTTAATTGCACTTTGTCAGTGTCACAGGTTTATAAAAACAACAATTGTTTTTATGTGAAATCGCCCTAATAATTGTATATGGCATATAGTAAATTTAGTAAATGTGGCAGTCTCGTCGTATGAGATGCCAAACGTAGCTAATGGATAGTTGGTTAGTTTCTGCTGCCTGTGCTAACACATGTCTTATAAGTATGTATTTAGCTTTTGTTTTGCTAATTATTGAATTATTGACTTAGACTAACTAGAACGTAACTGACAGATGACACAAATTTTAAACGAAAATCTGACGTTGTTTTCGTCTCTTCATTAAAGAGAGTTTGAACGTCAGGTCCCCTCCATAGTTTTTTTACGCAATCGTTTTCTTTTCTGTGCTCGGTCGAAATTGCTGGAAAACCATCATCATGTGTTAGAATGACGTCGATGAMTAGCTTCCCAAAATATATTATAAAGCTAAGAATATCTTAAAGTGACCTCGACTAATATTAACTGATTACGTAAGTTCAGTGACAAATTATAATTTTCCAAATGACTATTGATTTGGATCGTATTAAACCATACTTCATTCAAATCAATTTAGAGTCAGTCATTCACATAAAACCTTTTCAAAAAGAGTTCTTTGCCTAGAAATACTTTAATAAACCTATGCAGTACATTTTCCTGGGTTTCACGGTCACTGCGAAAGGGTAGTGGGTACCTGCTTGCCCACGCTTTGGTTACCACYATCGGAAAGTTCAATTCGTTCAGATATAAATAACTGTAGAACACTTAAAAGCTCTCGAAAACTACCTGTTCGCAATCTAATTAAAGTGCTCATTAGGCAGGTTGCATCATGTAGCTGACGTATTGAATTTTSATGAAGAGCGTCATTAGTAGTTTCGCAAGAGCGAAGGATTGCATTTGAAGAGAAGTTGTCATTTCCATTTTTCAGTCGTTTTCAACTTGTTTTCCGCTAACTTCTCCAGAATGAAATTAAAGTCAGTAGTTAATCCATTTATTACACACCCTGTTTGCTATTGATATAAATTAATCGGTCTTGAAAAAAAAAAAAAGGATTTGCATTCGAGGGAGGAAGGAACGGTCATTTTTTCATCTTTCAGCAGCGACTACTATAACGAAGCAAAAATTGTCAACGGTAATCTTCACCGTCATTTTATTTTTAACAACAGCAAAATTGTGATAGACGTGATAACGCGATCATTCGACATCTTTTCTATCCACAAAATGGTTGGGCTTCCTGTGCAACCTAAAATGCCCCCAGTCTCTTCTCGATCACACAAAGGCGGAAGTATTTGAAAGACCGCGAAAGCTCACCTAGTAGAGTCAACATGACCTCGACTTGTTTCTTTATAAAAGATCTAACTCTGATGTTTATGTTCCATTTTGGTTTCGTGACTAAAGCGTCGTAGTTATGTTAAATTTATGAATTCGTTTCGCTTGCATTTTGAACGCAGGCAGAAGGGAAATTCCCTTGCAAGTTGAAGTCACATGCAAACTTTCACTTTCTACGGTTTGACTTTCTGTTTCTTGGAGCCGATAAAAGGTGTTTAAATTCTTCACAGATGGCTGGTGCAAAYCCTTTCCAAATTAAAGGAGAACTAGACGATATTGATGATATAATTCGGCCTCTTTTACATGAAGGTAATGTCTTCTGAGCTTATAAGCTTATATATAACTTAAATTTTATAAAGTACAACTAACTCAGCTTCGAACCTCTGAATGCAAAACGAAAGCAGTAATATAGGCTTATGAGATTTTTTTGGTGCGTTTTGTTTTATTATTGTGTTAATTCAATGCCTGAGTCCTTGGTTGTTCATAATACACAATGAGCATGATTTCTAATACTATTAATCTTAGCTTTAAAAAGGATATTTATTTTGAATAAATCATACATATTTTCAAAACAAAATTGTTTAGTATAAAGCTTAAGCTTAATATTCGCAGTATAGAGATATGTCTTTGAACTATATATTTAATACAATATTTATACTTAAAACCATAAGTATTTCTCAGTTATTCTGCAGTCTCTCGACATGATCTTAATAACAGCAGACATTCTTTTAATATATATTATTATATTACCCAGCAGAGAACAGTAAGTTATATTCTCTTATTCAATTCAGATGATCATACCATACAAGATGAAAGTTTTGGTCATCAGTCATTTTTGGGAGGAATTCAACAACCAATTAATCAGAATCTRCACATTGAAGTTCTTGACCTCAAGGACATTTATGATAAAGTACAGAAAAAGACCTATAATGGGTCAGAGCAGCGTATTGCCAATGCAGTAGTGAACATTGAAATATCCACAATAGCTCAAATTTCCAAAATATCTGTGCTTGTCAGAAGATGCCAAAAAGCTGTTGAAAAGACAAACGATCGAATAGGTAATCTTTCATAATCTAGCTATTGTTTTTATGTTAATTTTTGTGTTCAYGATTTTCCAGATTGCAGTCACTTACACTATCATGTTACCATCATCATGTTATCTTGACATTAAGCTAAACGGTCCATGATTTCCCTTAAATGAAATTGTCCATCTATTCATTTCTTTTTTGAATAATTCTACTCATTTCTTCATTGATGCTGAAATATTATTCCCATTGTYATCTGACATGAAGATAGCAAGTTGTTATTTTGCGTCAGAGTGCGAGTGAGGCTTATACAGAAATTGCATCAGCATTACTGCAATAATATTGAAAGACACATTGTTGGAGCTCACAGGAATTCAGCATGTTCTAAATGAGCAGGGGACTGGCACTTAAGTTGTAGCAATAGTGCTTTTCCTCTAAAGGAAAAAAARTCATGCCTAAATATACCAATGGCACTATGTTAATATACAATGTACCTTGCTGAATAAGAATCAAGTCGGATCCTCTTCAAAATGTGAAACTAAAACAAATTTTACTTCTGGAGTGACAGCTGTTGATTAAGCCATACATTCCTTGTAAATTTGAATATCAATAGCAGCATATCCATTACTCATATTGTCATCAAAATGTGTGGATTTGTGAATTTTGATGAGCTGTCTCTTATTATGATGTCCATTTTTAAAATTGCATTAAATCTTGATGCAAAAATAAGCTTTTTTGATACATAGTACCCCTGATGTAATACACCTACTCATTTAGAATATGGCTAATATAGACAAACGTTTATCCACCTGCAATYATAAAGAGCCCAACAATTATCTTTGATGCAAAAAGATCTTTCACTGACTTACAGCAATTTGATTTGGTACCTCTTGTATGTGCTTTACAGGGCCAGTACAGCTTCCAGTCAACATCAAAAGTTCCTCTGACAAAATCTACCTATCTGTAGACCTTGATTCAGTTTACAAGACAGACAATGACTTRCTKATCTACTGGTTGGATCGGGTTGAGGTGGAACAGCGCAATATGTGGGAGTTGGTGTTTGTTATTGAATTTATTGATGGAACTCAGAGTATTTCACAATCAAAGCCATTCAGAATCAGGACCAAACCACGACCAATTGCAAGGGCTGCTGAATTTTCACCAGAATTGACAGGTATGTACACTTGCTGTTCAATTCTATTCCATTCCTCATCTCATATCTCATTTCATATTCCATTATATTCTATTGAGCATTTCATTCTAGTTTTAAGTTTTTATTCCATTGTATTTCATTCTATTCCTTTTGATCTTATTCCATTCCATTGAACATTCCTTTGCATATTCAATTCCATTCAATTTTACATTTTATCACACAATTCCTCTCATTTCACTTCATTTCCACTTCCATTTTGACAGTCCCTTCCATTYTTCTTCTTATCAGACTTTTATACCATTGCATATTTTGTTGTCTTCCATCCAATGTTCTCTTTTAAAGTGCATTTGTTTTATTAGTCCATCCCATCTGATGACGGAAATTTTTGTGATAACAATTTTAATTCAACTTAAAACTTAGGTCCAGATAGTGAGAAATCTCCATTGATGCCACCAGAAAATAAGAGAAAGAGGCCGAGCCCTAGTGAGCATAATGTCTATTGGTTTATTTAGCTTTCCCTGACTCACACCCAGTCTACTCATAAATTTTGAAACACTGTCTTAAGCTTTTTTTTCTATCCTCCACTTCCTGATTTCCCTCCTGATATAATTGGAAATGATTAAGTAAAAATAAGGTATTTTTTTTCAAGGTGCTAGTAGTTATGGAACAAATCCTTCACCATTYTCAGGCGCATCTAGCTCTCCTGGAACCTGTAAGTAAATAAAAAACCTTAATTCCAGATCCTTTTTTTAACTTTTTGGAGTGCAGTCCCACCCCAAATAAATATCCTATTTGATTGGCCACGTTCTAGATTTAATCAAAGTGTTTATGCTCAGATGTGATCAAATTTAGCTTTTCTAGCAAATAAGAAGTCACGCTCGATATACAAAATTAGATAATGACTTAGACACGAAGACACAAATCTACCAGATGTCAACTTCGTACGCCATATTTCCCGCCAACATGAAAGTATGTCCAAAACGCCTTGGTTGCACAMCCTTATAGGGCTGGGGCTTCTATATATTATTTGATATTAAACATAAACATAATTTGTTTTTGGTAGTTAACCCAGACAATGGTTATAACTCTGGTCCATCGCCAGCATCCGTACGCACAAATGAAGGTGAGTTGTGCATAGTCCCGCCCACACGAGAAATAAAAAAAAAGCGCATGCGCAAGTTTGAAGTGTAGGRCAAATCCAAACAGAGAGATCAGAAGTTTTCCCTTTTGTTGTGCTTGGATTTGAGCCTGAGTTTGGTCAAGCTTTGGCGTTACTCTGTTGAAAACGAAACGCAGTGACAGACCCTATTTATCGACGAATGAAAATTCTAGTGCCAGTTTTGCACGCGCTTTGCCATAGATCCATCGTGGTTACAAATTTCAAGTAAAAATCCTTAACTGTGATCAGAGATTTTCCAGTATTATATTAAAAAGAAAGCAAAGAGCTCTTTAAAGACGAAAATGCGAAAAAAGGATACTTTTGTGTCTTGTGTTTTTCATATTATTTGTATTTGTCTTCATTTTATTTTAWTTTTTTGTATTTTATTTGTTGTATTGTGTTTGTTTTACTTCCGTGTGTACAAGTAGTTTTGATTTCCTTTCTATTTTTTTCAATTGTTTGATGAAGTTTCGATGATTCTACTCTAYTCAAATGTGACAGAAAGTAACTGGAGCTGACAAAAGAAATCCAGGCAATATACCAGTATACATATTATTAATGCATAAAACTGTTTTTCTTTTAATAATTTCAGCTGTTATAACTGACTACTTAGAAGCGCAACGTGCACATATCCAAAACCTCAGAGTCCAAAAAATGATATCCTCACCCAATGCCGATATAGCGTACCATCTCCAGCTTCAAGGGCCTTACTACAAACGACAGGTTCTCGAGGAAGGAGACGTTGTGGGTTTTTTCGAGGAAAAAGACACGGGTAAAACTGAAATAGCTCTTCTATCGATGGACAACGCTCAGGAGGCAAGGATGGCTGGAGTCATCAGCAGATCTGCCTATCTGCACGGGAACGTTCCTGCTGAAAATATTGGTATGTGAAGGCTCTTTGTTCCGGTTTGATATAACTGATTAGCATATTTTGGATACCATATTTGGTACTCAAAAYCTAAATGGTATGATGGTAATGAAATATATTGTTCATGTTTTGTTTTTAAAGGACGTAATRTTCTATTTTTTGCGTTTTATATCAAAACAGATTTTAYTTTGTTTGGTTTCTGAAGCKTAGAGAGAGAGCTCAAGAAATGGACGGCTGTTACGCACGCTTTTATTTTTTACRCTCTTGCGTTTCTGTAGCKGTCTCCGTCGTCAAAGGATGAAAAGTAGTAAAAAGACATAATGAAAACTTATCAATGAGGATTAGGCCTGAATTAGCAAAAAGGTTTTAAGGCCTTGTCTACATTGATGCGTTTTCATAGCGTTTTTGTATTTTTCCCCGTCCCAAAGGAATTGAAAGACAAACACTACGAAAGTGCATCAGACCTTATCCACAGCGTTTTCGTGGCGTATCCGTATTCTTCGTTGCGAAAACGCACCGGTCTAAACGTGATTGAATACAAGTAGGTGTATTCATAGCTTGTCTTTTGCTGCACAGATCTAACTGACACGGTCTGCGTAATCGGAATCGTCGCAATCAAAGTCACAGGYCCTGTACAGAATGGTGAACGTATATACGCGTCCACAGAGAAACCCGGTGTCGGAATCCCCGAGACTCAAATCCCTCTACGGTCTGCTGGTAAAGTAAGCCCTATTCTTCTAGGGCAGTCGCTCGAGTCATCCCATAGCTCAAGYCTCGACAGTATTCATCGTGTGAAGTGTTTTGTGTCGGTTGTGCTTGGAATTCAGTCCGSACAGGTTTACGCTGCGTTGGAGGACGTGAGAAGAGACACTCGAAACAGAATAGCGGAAAGTATCAGACAAGCGAAAATAAAATTCTACCGATGTAAGCCTTTTTATTATGAAAGACGTATTATAATATCTTATAAAATGTTAGTTTATTGTCACTGTGTTATTTTCCATCAAATACGTGGTGGGAACTAGCGGTAAACAAGTCTGAGCTGCGTCAGTGTTTGTAAAGAAAAAGTTGTATAAAAAGATAAATTTAACAACTAAAAAAGTAGGTGAATTAACTTACTGACTTTTCGGACGTTAATCCTTCTCTACTCCGACGAAGGATTAACGTCCGAAACGTCAGTAAGTTACTTCACCTACATTTTTAGGTGTATACAACTGTTTCCATCAAATACATCAATTTCGNCGAGAAGCAAGAGAAACACTCGCTACGCTCGTGTTCCTAAGCTTGCATCTCTCGTGTTTTTCGAACTCCCACCGTGTTTATATCAGGACAGAGACACGCGCGCCGTTTTATATTTCTTAATTATATATATACACCATCAAAATAAATCTGATTTGTTTAGGAATGCATTATTACCTGAACCTGGACCGATGTGCATATGGAGGCGTAGTAGCAGTAGGTTCCCACTTAGACCACATCCCACAAGTACGTGGAGCCGAGGTATTTGCTGTGAATTTTAATTGTAGCCGTGTGTATTTCGAAATGAACGGAAATTGGTACGCTTACAAAACTGCTAGAGATTTTAAGTGTGAACCGCCCTACTAGGTAGTCAACGTTTTTGTAGACAAACATTGTAGGGTGCTTTTTTTAATGTTAACGGTACGTTTACGTAGCGGGCAGTGATTTMGAGAAACGTGGTTATTTACGTGATAATACGTAAATCAAATAAAAAGTTATGTTAATCGATTTGCATGGGCAACGTCAATACTTACGTAAGTGCTGCGTATACGTAACTGTTGGAAACTGAAATAAAAAAACGGGCGTGGAGCGAGTGTGTCAGGTGTAAGTCGACGAAACTTATTGCGTAACTTAAATGAAGAGGCTGATCTATGCCAATGTTAACTGATATGCTCTAAATCTAGAGTGCATTTAAACGCTGAAAGAAACTGGTGTGAATAGGGGTGGGGCGGAGGATGTTACGTGAATTTATGGCTCAGTTACGTAACAACACAAGAAAAATTATTGTGGAGCTATTAAAGTTACTAGCGTCCTACAAAAGTAAAAGCTTAATTTCGTAAGCTCATTAGTCATAAGGACTAAATCTCCGTATGTCACGAGACAATTGAAATGACGGACGTACGTTAAGTTCACGTTTAAGTCTCTACCGTACACAAATAACATCCATGTGTCTTGTGATAACGTAAAGGTACTTATAAGCCTTGCGTCTTATTGGTTGTATATGGATAAGTAAGTTCTTTCTAGATGTAAATATATAGGCGTTCCTTGCATATATATATTTTTAAATATTTATTTTATACGTTAGCAATTTATAGTATTATTATATAGAAAAGAAGTATAAGTTATTTAGCAAATAGGCTAATAAATAGCATGGAATAATTAATTTAACAGTGTTGCTATTTATAGTGCTTGGTTTTTAAAACAGAAAATAAATATTTCAAAAGACAGCTATGTTGAGTTTATTTGTTATATATATTTTTCCTATTAATTCTTATGGTATTAAGTAGTATTYACATTCCATCTTCGTGCTTTCGTTGGGTCTTCTATGAAACGAAAAGTGAAGTAGACGGTGAGTGTTTTTGAATAATATGTTCAACAACTTAGGCCCAGTCTCTCCTCGACCAGATGATCCAAGCAGTCATCATATAAGAGAAAAATATTCCCAGAATCAAAAGAGCTAAATCGAAAACGAAAGGGAAATTCTCTTTACTGTTCGGCTGTCTTCTCATCCGAGACTGAACTATGTCACACTGTATTTGAACGGCTTCAGAATTCACAAGTATTAACTATTTCGTGGAATTTCAGGAACACGTTTTCAAAACAGGATTCTCTTGTTTAGTAAGCATTGCATTTTAATTGGACTGGTGTCCGTGTATCGKCTCAGATCGACGTTTAGCAGCTAGATAGATTTTGTGGATTTGGCTTTGTTTTGGAGACAAGAAAGAACGATATCTGTGCTGTTTTTATGAAGGTAAGTAAAGGTGAATATAATCTTTTTACAGTAGTGACATGTAATCTTATTTTGCGGCGTTTTAAATTGTTATTGTCTTTTTCGAACTGCCCACCAGCACCTATCCTTAAACGGTGAAGAAACTGAAAGGCATTTCTTTTCCTATTGACCTTCCTTTGTATGACTCTGAATCGTAGAAACTTTATGTCGTGTAGAGACTTTGCAGGGTAGTTAGATGAAATATGAACATTTGATAATGAATTTATCTTGCTTTCTTTCTTACAAAATCTGACAATTTTCTATTTATTACAGCTGACAGTATTTTGATCATGTGATCCGGTATCATGATCTTTATTCATGACTATTGGTGGCTAAAAATTGAAAACCTTGGCGGTGGTTGAACGATTTTTTTTTTGAACGATGAGACAGCTTCATATTCACACAAGAGAACTCATTAAAAATTCATTTTTTTCAAATGAATTTCCTACTATTCTACTAAAAAAAAAAAAAAAAAAAAAACATTGGAAAACATTCTACGTTTTAAATTGTAACGTAAATCGTATACATTGAGTTGTTGTGTCCTTTTCTATGAAATTATGTAGCATTTCATGTGCAATTTTGGACTTTAAGACTGCCATATACAATTCCTGAACTACTACCGTCATTATTTTAGGTTATTGTCGTCTCAAATTCGCTCCAAGATTTTTGTCATAAATCCTGTCAAAACTTGACTCGTTCTAAAAACCATCCGTTCGTACGGAGGCGAAGAAGAAAAAAGTACATGTTTTTCTTCGAGAAGAGAACTTATTTTTTTCTTCTTTATGTAGCGGTGGTTTGAGAACTGTGTTGACCGTCATGTTTATTTTGTTCGTTGGTCAGCTCYCAGAGACATTTAAATCAAGTGTTCATACTCTCCCGTCAATAAGAATAGGAGYAGTGTGATCTGTACACCGATCTTTTTGGACTTCATGTATAACCTATTCAGCCACTTTTTCCAGTAAATCATTACTTATAAAAATGTTGACAAAATTAATACTGTCGACAACATAATTACTGACAACAACGACAACGGTGTTGATGGCAACAATAACAACAAAGACAACTTCAGTAACCTCATGATCAATAACTTTGCCATTATCAGCTGCAGGAATATCTTCAACAGATAGACCAGTGGCAACAACTTTGGTATCAGCAGCAGCATAAACAACGACACCATTTTCTACACCAACACCATTGTCAATTGCTCTAGTAGCGAAAACTATGCCATCATCGTCAGCAGCGGTAATATCCTCAACCACAACAGCATCGCCTACCACAGCACCCTTATCYACTGTAATATCGTTATCGACAACACCCTCGTCAGCAGCAACTCCTTTGAAAACAACAACAACAACAACAACAACAACAACAGCTTCATCAGCATCTTCATCTGCAGTACCAAATTCATCAGACAAAGAAAAGACAAATCATGTTAGACTCTCACGTCTGCTAGCAGATATTGGACGCCGTGTTTTGCAAGATGTCCTCGACTCGCTCCATCCACCTTCAAGACTGCATGCATTTCTGAACTCAGGGCTCGTGTACTCTCAACTTGTCAAACTGAAATCCAAAAAAATTATACAATCTGAGCAATGGGACAAGCTTTATCCTCCAGCAGGTGTAACCGTTTCTTCAGGAAACTTCGATATTACCTTACTTTTTCTCTTGTTGAGAAACGTCTGTGGTGGAACYACTCCCAGCAGAGGATGGGATGCTGCACCCCTGGCAACAGACTTGAGCATGGAGGCAGATTTGGTTCGAATCAAGCGATGCCGCAATGAACTTTATGCTCACCGTGTCGAGATGGCTATGACYGATAAGGAGTTTAATTCCAACTGGATGGAAATTGAAGCTGCCCTKGTTAGACTTGGGGGAGATAAATACAAGSCTGACATTCAACATCTAAAGACTGAATACTCCACGGATCGAGAGAAGGAGAAGTATTTCCAAACTCTTCTCTCTCAAGCGTGGGAAGAAATTGAAGATACGGTGCGATGGAAAGGTAAGAGAAGGCATGTATTGTGTAATGTGAGTATTCAGTTGTTAATAGAAAATAATCACTTGAAAAACACTTACAAACCAAACAATCCATTATCCATTATCCATAGTCTTTATAAGATGGAAGCGACCGTATTCATTCTTCTCTCAGAGGGCCCTTCTAGAAATATATGTATAAATTAAAGTTGAATCTAGTATCTATTGGTTATTATGATTTATTTAAAAGGCGTTTCTTTTCTCTGAAGATCTAACACAAAGAGAYTACATCATTCTRGTTGGYGTTATTGCTATTGTTTCTCCAGTGGTCGCTCACCATTTGACGAACGTGTTGAGCCAGGGTTYTGTCATTCTGACTGCCCTTGTTATCTTGAGCGCTGTTTTGTACCAACTGTATATGCCAGGCTCATGGTATCGSTATAGGGAATGCAATAAAGGTAGAATCGAGGGAAGTGAAGTATGGTTTACATTCACCACATTTAGTAAACAGGTTGGTTGACTAACATTGGCAAATGATTTACACTCACKCGTGTGTTGAAAAAATAAAACAAACCTGCTTTTGGGTTTTTTACTGATATGATGTCTTTTTACAGACACCAAGAGTACATGGAGTTGAGTTTGAATGGGAAACGCTGAAGAAGAAGTTGAACCTGCCCTTTGACAAACATAAAGATCCAGGTATTAAATTCACTTTGGTATRAACTTCTCCATCACTCGACATTGAAGTTGTTCACACATGTTTAAGTAAAGATCATCAAAGTTAAGGCAAGGAATGGACTTTTTAGTGATTAGAATTTGGAAATATTAATATCTTCAGTAATTCTCTTGGAAGGGACTAGCCAATCAATGTAGACGTGGTCTCGAACTAAACACATAATTATAACATTATATAGATTATTTGCCTTCCCATGGATTAGGCTGCTCAAAGGTGTTAGGGCTATTTATCTGTTTTGTTCCATGAAACAAAAGAGGTAGTCCTGTCACCTAAGGAGCTCTAAAGGGCTATCCTACMTCATGTAAACAGGGTTTTCGCTTTATTCCAACGGCYGGTCACTCTCATTTCCTTGATGGYCATCCCCTGTATCCATGATGTGCAAAATATCTTAGTATTTTGACAAAGCACTTGTACTGATTTTTTTAGGCATGCGTTACTACCTRAACATAGACCGATGTGCATACGGAGGGGTAGTACTAGTCAAATCAAGCTTGCCTTGGGATCGAACCCCACAAGTGTGTGGAGCAGAGATTTTCGCTGTCGACTCAACTTGCAGCCATGCATATTACGAAATGGAGGGCAAATGGCATGTTTACGTGAGTGGAAGGGATTTCAAGAGCATACAGCCTTACAACTAAAATACTTGGAGGTCCTGTTGTGGTTTTTGTAATGTAACCGACTGAATTTAAACTGAATTGAC